GTTCGAAACCCGCTAGGCACATATGTTAGCCGGTTATATTGGGCTCGGCTCATTAATATATAGTTTATTACTTTGGGCTTTATTTGGTACTTAGTTGTAACCCTACTCTTGTATATGACTTTGTATAAATACCCCTATGTATAGGATGAATACACGCGGTTTTAACCTCAGTGTAATATACGTATTGCAATAGCTAGTCTCGTTTGTCATGGTATCAGAGCATATGTACGCGTAGGGCTGCTTGTCATATTTTTTCGTCATTCTGGTTCGGCTGAGGCACCAACATGCTTTCATCGCCGACGGATATGACAGACCCTTCTCTTCCAACATCCCCTTATTACCTCGGATCCGGTGATCAACCCGGTAATCTTATAACCCACGTAATTTTCAAGGGAGATAATTACGTGGCGTGGTCGCGAGCTATTCTCTTGTCATTGAAGGCACGTCGGAAGAATGGTTTTGTTGATGGCACGCTCAAGAAGCCGGAAAATGCAGCGACCCTGGCTCATTGGGATACCGTCAACTCGATGATTGTGTCATGGCTCTTGCGGAGTATGGAACCCTCGGTGGTGAACACCGTGCCGTTTCACGATGAAGCACGAACCATGTGGGTTTATTTGGAAAAGCGATTCAGCGTGGCTAATGGGCCCTGACTGCAACAATTGCGGGCTTCCATCTCGGCCTGCAAGCAAACTAAAACTATGAGTGTTGATGCCTATTATACGACATTAATGGGTCTTTACGATGAACTCTACCGGTTGAGGCCCCTACCGACGTGCTCGTGTGCTAATTGCACATGTGATATTGTTGCAAAAAATCGAAGCAGAACACAGCGAAGAACAATTCCATCAATTTTTGGTTGGATTTGACGACGAATTGTACGGGACAGTTAGATCAAATCTCCTCTCACAAAACCCTCTGCCAAGTACTGACCGAGCACTTCAAGCATTCGTGCAGGAGGAGACTTCCAAGGCAGCAGCTCGCGGGAAGAAGAACACAGTGGCAGATGTCCACGCCTTTGCCCTCCAGGTGGACCATGCTGCGAAGACTGACTGAGGTGGTCGGGGTGACAAGTCTGATCGTTCAAGGCGTTTTTGCACTCACTGTAGGCAGAAAGGTCACGAGGTCGGAACATGTTTTAAAATCCACGGTTATCCCGAATGGTGGGAGGAAAGGAACAAGACCAAGGGATCACAGTCTGGCCGCGGTGGAGGGGTCCGGACACATGCCGTACTGCCTAGTCCACTGCCAGCGGCTGAAGGCTCGGGTTCTGCGAATACAGGGAGCAATGGGTTGGCCAGTTTAAGCAATGAACAGGTGCAGGCTCTCTTGAGCTTACTTAATACTGACGCTCATTCTAACGATCGGATGACGGGTATGTTCTCTTCTCTCGAGTGGATAATTGACACCGGGGCGTCAAACCATGTTACGGGAGACGCATCTTGTCTTGTGAATCCCGTTACTATTCATGCATGTCGAGTGGGTATGCCGGACGGACGTACTGTGGCCGCAACCCTCACTGGTCGTGTCATTTTATCCCAGGGTTTTGTTCTTCATAATGTGCTTTATGTGCCGGGGTTAAATTGCCACCTTATTTCTGTGTCACAATTAACGGACCAAACTAACTGTCTTGTCACTTTTACCCATAATATTTGTGCTATACAGGACCTACCCTCGAGGAGCCTGATTGGAGCAGGTGAACGACGGGATGGGCTTTTCTACTTCAGACGGCTACCGGTTTTGCATAATATCCAGACATCCGCAGCAGTATCGGAATTCGAGTTGGGGCATCGTCGGCTTGGTCATCCGTCTGATAGGGTTCTTAAACTTTTACCTGCAATTAATTCTAGTTTTTTTCAGAAGAAATTAAATAAAGCTTGTGAGGTGTGTCCGCAGGCCAAACAAGTTCGCGATTCTTTTCCTATTAGTAATCATAAATCCAGTAGGATACTTGAGCTCATTCATTGTGATTTGTGGGGCCCATATAAGACCCCATCTACGTGTGATGCAGTTTATTTTCTTACACTTGTGGATGATTTTTCTCGTGCTGTCTAGGTTTATTTATTACGTGACAAAAAGGAGGTCTTCCAATTTTTCCTCTCTTTTATTGCTATGGTTGAGAAACAATATGACTTGCCTGTCAAAATTGTGCGTAGTGACAATGGGACTGAATTTAGATGCTTACTTTCTTATTTTGACACGCATGGGATTTTATTCCAAACGTCCTGTGTACACACACCCCAGCAAAATGGACGAGTTGAACGGAAGCACCGTCACATTTTAAATGTGGCCCGCACATTAATGTTTCAAGCTAATCTGCCAATACATCTATGGGGTGAATGCGTTCTTACAGCTGTACACCTTATCAATCGGACCCCGTCTGGCATTCTCAATGGTAAAACCCCTTATGAACTCCTTAACGGTGTACCCCCTGATTTTTCTCACTTGCAAGTGCTTGGTTGTTTGTGCTTTGCTCATAACATTAAATGCCGAGAAAACAAATTCTTTCCTCGAAGTCGGCGTGGAGTTTTTGTGGGGTATCCTAATGGTAAAAAAGGGTGGAAGGTGTATGACTGGATCACGGGGGAAATATTTGTTTCTCGAGATGTGATTTTTCATGAAGACGAATTTCCGTTCTCAGTTTCCCCTTTTTCGGCCCAGCGGTCATCTGAGGACATCTCAATGACCATGGAACCATCTCCGGTGATTCATGATGTTGACCCTCCTATAATCCTCTCTGGGTCATCTGGATCCTCTTCGGGTGACACGATCTCGGCTGGCCAGTCTTCGGCTCTTCAGACCACCGATGCTACACAGTCTGACACTACATCACTTGGTCGGGGACACCATATCAAGAAACCATTCGTCCTTTTGAGGGATTTTGTCACATATCATGTATGCCCGGTAAGCCCATCCCCGTTGTCTGCCTCTTCTGCCAGCTCCTCAGGTACGCCCTATCCTATAGCTAATTTTGTAAAATGTGACAAGCTTTCTGTTGGTTATCGCCGTTTTCTTGGAACACTTATTGCAGGTCATGAGCCGCGCTCCTTTAAAGAAGCAATGACTGATGCTGGCTGGCGTGAAGCCATGCAAACTGAAATCCGGGCCCTTGAAAATAATCACACTTGGGTTATGGAGCCTCTTCCGCCGGGCAAAAAGGCACTTGGGTGCAAATGGGTGCACAAAATTAAATACCACTCCGATGGCACCATCGAACGCCTCAAAGCACGCTTTGTTGTCTTCGGTAATCATCAGCAGGAGGGCATTGATTACACCGAAACTTTCGCTCCGGTAGTCAAAATGGTTACTGTGAGATTATTTTTAGCTATGGCTGCAATTTAAAATTGGGAACTACATCAAATGGATGTACATAACGCATTTCTTCACGACGACTTGCAGGAGGAAGTCTATATGAAACCTCCTCCCGGTTTTATTCCTTCTCGGCCGGAACAAGTATGTCGGTTGCGGAAATCTTTATATGGCTTGCGTCAGGCCCCTCGCTGTTGGTTCGCAAAATTAGCTTCTGCTTTGAAAACATATGGATTTCTACAATCTTATTCTGATTACTCCCTTTTTACGATGTCCCGGGGATCTTCCCAGATTTATGTCCTCATTTATGTGGATGATTTGATTATTGGAGGGAATGATTCGATGGCTATCTCCGAGTTTAAATCATATTTGCATAAATGTTTTCATATGAAGGATCTTGGTGTACTGAAATATTTCCTTGGAATTGAGGTGGCTCGCAGTACTGATGAGATATATATTTCTTTGCCAGCGTAAATATATTTTGGATATTATCTCTGAAGCTGGGCTTCTAGGGGCAAAACCCGCCACATTTCCTATGGAACAAAATCACACATTAGCTTTCTCTCAGAGTGCTGCATATGATGATCCGGAGTCCTATCGACGTCTTGTGGGACGATTAATTTATCTCTCTTTTACACGTCCCGATTTGGCATATGCGGTTCATATTTTGTCTCAGTTTATGCAGGCTCCACGGCAGGATCATTGGTTCGCAGCTCTGCGGGTCGTCCGTTATCTCAAAGGCACTCCGTCTCAGGGCATTCTTCTTCGTTCTAACAGCAAGCTCGAGCTCACTGGTCGGTGTGATTCAGACTGGGCTAGTTGCCCACTTATTCGACACTCTCTTACAGGATGGATGATATTTCTGGGGGATTCTCCTATTTCCTGGAAGACCAGGAAACAACATACTGTCTCTCGCTCCTCTACTGAAGCGGAGTACCGGTCCATGGCTGCTACCACGGCCGAATTAAAGTGGGTTCACGAACTTCTACGTAGTCTCGGCATTCCTCATAGTCAGCCTATGTCTCTCATTTGTGATAGCCGGTCTGCTCTACATATTGCACACAATCCAGTCTTTCATGAATGTACGAAACACATTGAGGTGGATTGTCATTATGTACAAGATGCTATTCAGGCAGGTTTGCTCGTTGCACGTCATGTCTCTACCATTGAACAACTCGCGGACATCTTTACTAAGGCTTTGGGCCAACGACAATTTCTCTACTTACTTAGCAAGTTGGGCATTTTTGAACCCCATGCTCCAACTTGAGGGGGTGTTAGTCGGTTATATTGGGCTCGGCTCATTAATATATAGTTTATTACTTTGGGCTTTATTTGGTACTTAGTTGTAACCTCTTGTATATGACTGTATAAATACCCCTATGTATAGGATGAATACACGCGGTTTTAACCTCAGTTTAATATATGTATTGCAATAGCTAGTCTCGTTTGTCAACATAGGGGGTTGAAACTCAATGGAGTGAGTTTCAACCCCTATTTCATGAATTACCAGGCTCCCCCCAGCCCCCCTGGAGTAAAAAAACTGCATTAATATGTGTATTCAAATAAGAAATTTTAAAACGGGTCGGGATCCTTAATGGGTTGGGATTCTTTAACGGATCGAAATCATATGTATCATACCTCAGCCGTTTATTAAAAATGATCAGAATTCGGGTAAGAGAATAAAATATAGATTCATTCTCTTTAAAAACAACCGGTATCAGGTCGGTTTGGGTTTAGACCCGACCTATTGACTAGCAATAATGGTGGACTGGTGGTCTATGATTTCCCAAGTCGTCTGGCTTGCCACAGCGGCACACTGATGGATTTCTGTTAACGAACCTAGTTGCTTCTTACCTGTTCCTTCTCTGACTGTCTGCTCCCTGGCGCCTTGGTACTTCTCTTCGTCACCTTCACATTTTAACTGTAATTATCGTGTAGAAAGTTTGTTGAGAGTTTTTGTTATGCGTAAGAAATGAATAGCTATTTATTTGTTAGAAGTATTTATTACTTTCATTACTGATTATGTTACTTTATGCTGTCCATATCTAAGAATTACGAACTTGTGATTTTGCTCGAGAAAGAATGAGGCTTTACCTGTAGCTTCAGTGATTTTAGCTTATTAAAACTGTCAAAATCTTTTAATCAATTTCGTACTATGGGGTGTTCTTAAGCAGCATGTTATTTTGATGCAGGGTATAGTGTTGAAATAAATCTGATGAAGAGTTGGTCCAACTCCCCCTAGGTATAAACTACAGAGCGTATAACCCCTTAATAGGTTCTAAATCGTGTTGGATAGTCCTTACATATCTGAGCTCTTTTGGGGGTTTTGGCAACACTTATTCTTAACAAAACCCTATGGGAAATTACTGAGAGTTTGAGGCCAATTCAATGAACTCAATTCCTAGATGGTGATGACGAAACTGTACTTATCACACCTTTATATATGCGATATTGTTTGTTGGGTATTTTTTGGTATAACATTTTCTGACATAATTTGTATTGTTTATGGAATTAGCGGTCCTTTGTGTTCCTCCTCACTTTCTTCTACTCAGACTTTGTCAAATAGTGATGAAGTAGACCTTGATTGGTAATATGTTGCATTTGGGAACCTTTAGAATCCTTAGCCTTCAAATGGTATAAAAGCATAGTAAACCCAAAAGAACAAGACGATCCTGAGATACACAAACAAGGAGCATACGTTTTCAAAACTAGTCTGTTTCAACGTGTCATAATGTGTTGGGACTTGGGACTTGTTAAGTCATCATTATTCGAATAAGCGGAAAATATAGAGTTATAAACCTACATATAAAGTATTACTACCTCCGTCCCATTTTATGTGTCCTGCTTTGGTATGACACAATTATTAATAAAGTGATTAAGATTTGAATATAATAAAGTAAAATGTTGTGACCACATACTTCTTTCCAAAAAAGGGAATGTGACACTTATTTTGGGGCAACCCAAAAAAGAAAGTAGAAAAGGTAAAATGGGACGGAGGGAGTAGAAATTTAGATACTCCTTGTTCATCGTATAAGAACGGAACCTATTAATAGTAACAATGTTCTTGTGAGGTTACATGTCGCGTGTTGAAGTTTTGTTGAGAAGGATGTATAAAAGATATATTTTGGAAAGCACTCTCTAATATTGTCATTATAAATACCCCTGGGGTGCATGCCATTAAACCAATTTAAGCTGCAATGCTTTAAGAAGAGTATATCATATCTTTAAAGCGAAAAACAAACACTTAACAGATTCAGAACCATGAATCCAGAAATGACAACTAGCCTAGGGAACCATCCCTGCCTTTTCTCAAGAAGAGTTCATGTGCATTGCTGGAAGGAAAGAAGTGTCATCGGTTCATATTTTAGTTATCTTGGTCTTTCTTGCATAGAACAATGTTCTCCAAGATGTAAGAAATTTATGGGTTGCTTCAAACAAGACGCTAGAAAACCTTGGAAAACTTTTGCTTCTAAAATGGATGGTGGTGATAAGGATCCAAATGAAACGGAGGATGAAGTAGAAGAGGAGATTTTGCCTGAAAACAGCACTGGATCTGTAAGTTGGATTGTTGAATATCTTCTTTCCTTTCAGTTTTATAATTGAACATAAATGGTTTTGAGTATCTTGTATCGGTTGTCTACTCATAGCGTGCATATTATGTAAGTGTGCCGTAAACCTCGTCAATTGAGATTCATTTTTGAACGAGTTTAATATGGTATCAAAATCTGACTAGATAGTGGTTTATGGAGTGCCTGTCCACTCAATGGTTTGGGACAGCCCTTCAGGGTTCACTTGTTCACCTTTTAAGTTGTGCCGTACGGTTTGGGTTGATGAGTTGTGTTAAATATCTCGCCCAGTGGGTTCAAGTCTAGTATATAACTATATAAGTGTGTGGTAAACCTCGAGAATGCTTATGGATTGAGTTAGGCTAGATTGAACAAAGGATTACCATGGCCTAGCTTAGCTAAAATGCACACCGTCTTGAATTTTGATATTGTTCTCCAGTAATGCCCCCCCCCCAATGGAGGATGATAGTGCAGTACTAACCCCTTACACTTACCCTTGGATTTGGGGCCCTAGTGGTGCGTTCATACCTATGGGCATCAGTTTCACCGCAAAAGAAGGAAAGCCAAAAGTCAGCAAATAACAAATCACACAAATCTTCAAGACAAATGACAATCAGGGATTTGAGAATCTTGGGAGATTTTAGCTATTATTAGCAGATTGCAACTTCTTTATGGGGGTTTTCGGGTAGTTAACTCAGCACTAATAAAAAATCCCCAATGAATTCCGAGAATTCCGGTTATAAATTTCTTTATTATAAAAATTTAAGAGGGTTCTCATTTGATTAGGTCGTGGGATGTATATCTATATCAATTCTACATTCTACAATTCTATTTTTCGTTAAGGGTTTCGTCAATCCTTGTCTTGGAAAAGGAATTTTTTGTGGTCCAAATAAGGGCCCAGGAAGTTTTGGACTTCTACTTGTAACTAGTAGCACTAGCAATCAATATATAATAAAAAAAACTATTTGACAAGGATTGACAAAACCCTTAAAGAAAAAAAAGGAACTATTCATACCTTTTGGAATCAAAATAAGGAATGTAAGTCCTTTATCTTTTTGTCATCATCAAATTGTTTTCGCAATACATATGCTTGTGAGAAGTTAGATAAATCATCAAAACTGGCCAATAGTAGGTCAAGAAATATTGAATGGTGATGTGGGAGGGTTTTTTTCGAGGAATTCAAATAACCTCTGTTTTGACGTTTTTATATTTTCCAAACTCTATAAAGCCTAAGTAAAGCCAGTCGAATAATGGAATCGTATGCAACTTTTGAACAACAAATGTCTGAGGGAGTTTGCAGAGTTCTCAATAAAATAATTCAAACTACCTCCATCCCATTAGAAGGTTCCCGTCCACTATTCACATGGTCAACTTAAATCATTTTTAATTTTTTACTTCATATTTTTTTATCAGGCTTTGTAGCGGTTTTAATGTAGTTTCTGAATATGGAAATTTTATTTACTAAAAATAATCAGAGTGTGAACAGGGATTAAGTTGCTTTATCGTCAGTCAAGCATCGTAAACCGCCAACGGGAACCTTCTAGCGGGACGGAGGGAGTATTTCATACTATTGCTATAGAAATCTGCTTACCTCTAGTTATTCCCAGTATTCCCCATAACAGCAACCATACCCAAACCTACGATATCTCAATCTTCCCTTGCACTCACCTGAAGGCCTGTGACGAGATCTTGCATGCAAGCCGCTAGTATCACCCCCCCCCCCAACATCAAGGATTTACCAACTAGGCATTGCCAGACTTCAGGCTCCGTACCGTACTACTACATGAATCTAATTGATTTAGAAAATACAACTAAGAGGTTGTCTGTTTGGATGGAGGGTTTTTGAGGGGTTTGCAGGTAAAGACCTTGGATCACTTGGTCTATATCTTGAATTCTTGATAAATATTTTAGGTTTCATAAAAGTTAAGATCAATAAATCATGTAATAGTGTACCAGTTTGATAGGTACCTCAACAAACGCAGTAGAAATATAGTAATATATATTGATCCAACCTCAGATTTGAGAACAGAAATAACGAAGAAGAACAGATTTGAGACACTTAGAGCAGTCTCCCTCTCCCAAGTCCCAGTCTAAACCCAATTGCTGCCTCCCCTCTTCCCCCCCATCCTGCTCTTATTATACTCATCTCCTAAATGGGCCAGCCTTAGTTACTAAGTTACTGGTCCTAGAAACCACTTATTGTACAATATCAAATACTTAATATTATTCTTATTACGAGTATTGTCAAATACTTAATATTATTCGTATTACTAGTATTGTCTAGGTCCCTATCACACTTCAATCACCTTTTTGTTGTTTAAAAATAAATAAATTATGTATCAAGATACAGACCCTCCAAAGCCATCCAGAGTTCAAATAGTTTAATACGTAGTAGTTTATTATGAATTATAGATAGCATCCCTTTTTAGTTAATAGTAAAAAGAATGTGCTTATAACTTTGAAAGTGGATTCAGGTGAATAATGATATATTAAGAGAAAAGTTTGAGAGAATTGTTGGCAATGATGATTCTTCGTTCAGTGGAATTGACCTCGCGACTCTAATACGCAATAAATATGGTCGTTCCTATGATGTTCAATTGATAAAGAAGGTATGTACCTTCTCTTTTCTTCTCTTTCATACATTCAGACCATGATCCACCTCTTCTCATAAATAGACGTAACTTGATCCCATTGAGATTTCAAGATTGCTGGTAGTGATGAAATGATAATATTTTCTAGTGCCAAAAGAGTGTGACGGATGAAAAGAAAATTAGAAAATTATTAGATTTGAAGCATGATATTAGTCTCCACCTTAAATTTATAGGGCATCGGCAGTGGCACTCTTTATTTTATGTTACTTGAAAGTTCTCAAATTTGGAATTGCTTTGTGAGTTTTGTATTGACAACTGTAGCCACAACCGGTAATGTTGGAGAACAGCATGATTTAGTTTACCACCCTTTCTGTTCTCAGTTTGATCCTGAGAAATAAAAATTCATCAGGGAGAACTTCAAAAGAGGGTTATAAATATTACATCCTTGGTTAGACTAGAAGGAAGGGAATTAGAAGGAAGATAATTTAATACTTTCGTAGTAAGGGGATAATGCTATATGGACTATACTGCCTTTTTTTAATTGAAAAATAATTTTAATCAATCAATAGTTACAAATTTTACATCACATATTTTTACAAATGTATGACATAACAATATCAAAAGTAATACGTAGTAATACATTTCATAAATAATTTTTTTAAACTTTTAATTATAAGAGCCCGTTTGGTAGCACGAAAATCGGCTATTTTGGCTGATTCTGCTGAAATTTTTGAAGTTTAGGCTGAAGTGGCTGCATTGGCTGATTATGCTGATTTAAGAAAGAAAAAAATTTAAAATATATTTTATTAATAAAATAAAGAAAAATTATATGTAAAAATAGCTAAAATGGTCATCTACATTAACTTCATCCAATACAGCCAGAAAAATAACTTCAACCTTACTTTTTCTGCTTATTACACAATTCAATGCGCGAAAGTAAAAGTTACGTGTTTGGTGAAAAAGTTGGCCGATAAGCCTGATAAGCCGAAAAACAGTGTTGCCAAACGGCCTCTAAATTGTTTGAATGTAATTATTTATAATTATGATTATGAATATGCTTTATCAAATGAATAAGATAATTAAGAGATGGTTTGGAAGCAAACCATGAAGAAAAATGTGGGGATACAACGTGTTAGAGAAAATAATTACGTATTTAGGACGAGGCGAGCAATTTAGTCCACAGAAAAGAATGGCCCATTTTCCATGCAAGTTCCCCCAACTTTGGAGGGGAGGATTTTTTTTAATGGATTTCCCTTTTTTCTTTACCCAATGAAGGGGAAGTGAGCAAAAACTCTCCTCTCCCATTGAACCCAACATTTTAATGTTCTATTTTGGCAGGAATTTATGGGCAAAAATCTCCTGGCTCTAAATGTAATGTGGAAGTACATGGAACAGGTGAGAACGTGAGATCTGTTCTTTTGGTGCAGGTTCACCTTATGCATAGTGTTCATCATTAGAACATTGGCTCCTATTTGTTTTCAAGTTTTTTAAACATATCAGTATGCTGGATAATGTGCATACTCAATTTGTACTCGGTGCAGGTTTCTCTAACCCACTACGTGGTTGTACTATTAAATTTTGTAAATCTTACATAGTACTTTAGTACTATCCTCCGTTCTTTAATTCTTGCAACAGTTTGACTTTCACGTTTGCCAACACACAACTTTGTCTGTCATTATATTTAATTATGTATTAGTAAACATTATAAAAAGTTGATATTTTGGAAATTCACATTGATAGGAATTCAATAACATTTTATACGTGATAATTTAATTATGTATATTAGTAGAAAATCGTGGTCAAAGTAAGGTATGTGAATAGTGCAAAAATCACAATGTTGCAAGAATTAAATAACGGAGGAAGTATATAGTAACTGTTGAGTAAGATTAACATATAGGTTTATGAACTTATGAACTTAATATGCATGCGTCTATGATTAAATTCACATCTGCCATATTCTTTACTTTTTATAAAAAAGGCTCAAATTCATTTGTTTCCGCAATTATACTTTCCATCATGAATTTAAAAATTCAAAATTAATATTTTTTATATACTTGCATTTAACTAAATAGTACTACATGTGTCCCATTTTATGTGTCCCACTTTGGTTTGACAAAATTATAAATAAAGTGGTTGAAAAAGTAAAACTTGTGGTTGAGATTTGAGTACTCCCTCCGTCCCATATTTACCTCCTAAAGTACAACCCACACAAGGATTAAGACAGTGGGTATTGTGTGATGGAGAGTTGTGCAGAGGAGAGAGAAATGTGTAAGAATGTTGTGAACCACAAATTCTTTGCCAAAATGGGAAAGATGAAATAATTTTGGGACATATGGAAAAGGAAAGTTTGAAGATAATATTGGGACGGAGGGTTCCAATATTATCAGTATGCATAGTGATCTACCCAAAACGGGAAGATCTGTTCTTTTATTCATTTAATTGTATTTCTGATGCTTTGCACCATACTTTGATTAATGATAATTAATACTAGTATCTCTTTATGCAAAAAAATATAATTAATACTAGTGTCTGTACACACAAAAACTATTTTTGTAAAACAAAATTAACTTGAAACAATAAAGAAACAGGGAAAAAATATGGACTAAAAATGACATTCTTCCTTAAATATAATCATAACCAAAACTAGAACCCAAACCCAAACACAAACATTTGTGTGTGATGTCTTAGATGTAGATATACAGTCATATAAATATAGATATGTATACAAATTTAGATACAAACTTTTGTGGTAATTTTATATAAGAATTGGCTTCAAACAACAAATAATCTGATCACCTCAAACTGATTTTCTATTTTATATCGAAAAGAATCACACTTTCTCATACAGATAGATCATAAAAAATTGATTGTGATTCGAAAGAAGGATTAACATCCATGTCGAACACCCCAAAACACCTATCTCATGTCAAATAAGAGATTTGAGGTCTTTGGTTCAAATAGCTCTGCAAAGTATGAATTTTATACTTGTGACTTTTTGAATGCTTGGATTATAATATTGGCTTCATTATTTCCATTTGAACTCCACGAAAAACATACTTTGGTTTCCATTTGTAGAGGTCCTTTCCACTTACAGAAGAAGAGTACCTGCTTAGGCTAGATGATGTAGCTAACACATTGAAGTGCTGGGGAGCTGTCTCACATGTCCGATGTAGTATTGAAAAGTTGAAAGAGCGGCCTCGGGTGGGCAAGGTAATCTTTGATAATGATAATGATAATGGAGTAGTCTTCCTGTCCGGAATTTCGGACAAGACCGCTGTCTGGCCACCTCATTTAGAGGTGGTTCCAGGTGGAATTTTTTGATGAATTTTTGTGAACATGTTCTCCATGAAGTAAAAATTATGTCTCTCAAATTTCAACTAAAAATTCAATCGTGAAGTCAGTTAAATAATTTTTTGAAAATAACTGCACCAAAATGTATATAAAAACGCATTTATTTGTGAATAAAATATGGATCCGGTGCCTCTGCCTTGTGTCAAAGCAAAGACAACACCCTTTCTTTCTACCCCTGCTCATTCGTGTCCCACTATTTTGTCTGGTGCACACTTCGATAGTTCGATCATAGCATTAACTAAATGCCTCCCGGTCTGAAATATGACAATATTGAAAATATGACTTTGTTTATTGAGTTATGTTAGCCCTCATAACCTGTGGATCTGTACCACAGGCTGTAAGCATTTTTATAGATATGGATGCATCTGGGGGTCGCGCGAGCGAATGGATATACAAGTAGAAACTCTGCAAAACTCTGGGAGAATTATCAATGATGATGATATGTTGAGTGCTAGTTTCATCACAAAGAACAAACACATTATCTCAATGTGTCATCTTAGGGGGTGGCATAATACAACTTGTTCATGTCTTCTACATCTTTCTCCTCTTTTCTGAAAGGAATCTTTCCCCTCCTCTTTGTAATATTATGATCATGTACACCTTATTTTAAACCTCTTGATATATAAAAGGTAAAAAATAAAACGATTGCACTTAATATCTCATGAGTAATTTTTGTTTAAAAATTTGATATTTCATAAACTATCTCTTGAGCACCTATGATAGAGTCAACTTATACCATTTGAGAAGTCACATTTTATAAATTGAAAGCCAGATGCTACTTACTACAAAACAACATGAGAATAAAAGTGTGTTTTCATTAAAGTAAAATAAAGTGCACATCGACCATGCTAATAAAAAGAAAAGAAAAAAATGATCCCGGCAAAGCGTTGTATTGGTAGGATATATGAGTATATGACACGCACTCCGCAAGGCATTTTGCAACAAATGTTTTATGATTTGAAGGCTCTCAGATGGGTGTCATCTTTTATTTTTTCCAATTATTTTATGTGGAATACTTTTTTGGACATGGGGTGGGGATCATAGATTCCATCTCTCCAAATCTACGAGATAAAAATAACTATGTAAGTTAGAGTACAAATCAAAAGAATTTCATAACTTTACCTCAAATTATTTTGATATTTGACTTTATTATTTTGAAGCTCAAATTGTTGAGATTCAAATCACGTGTTGGTGAATTTTTTATTATTCTCATTCTTGCTTTGACATGATGAGGCTCATGTTTACATTTCTACCTTTAATTATTTGATATGCAAATGCAAGGATAATCCTAATTATCTTATTGGGTCGATATGTTATTTTTTTTAAAGAAAATAATTTAATTATTATTGATAAAAATAATAAGAACAATTACAATCATATAGCTCAAGACTACAATAGGATGAGACGCAGAAACAGACAATTCAAATTGAAAATGTCGGAGGAGCCAATCATTGAAAATGCCGAATCGCTGATTATTTGTCCAACCACTGGTAAGGAGTCAAGCGTAGAATTTGTTCCGGTTTGACCAGCCACCGAAAAAAGACTCCATGTGATCCCATCTTTCTGGGACGGCGATAGTTCTGGAGGGGGCGATCGTCTCAATGGCTCAATGCCCTAGTTAGTTAAATACCGTAAATTACATGGTACAGCCGGCTGTACCGTGCGCACGGTACAGCCGGACTTTTAGATCGGAAATCGCAGGGCAGGCTTCGTAGATCGCAGGGCGCTGAACTTCCTCTGCAGATCATTCTCGTTCTTCGCTCTCACCTACACAGATGATGATTCTTGACAGTCTCAACCTTCAGCACGAGCGCAACACCGGCTTGAGCGGTGGCTCTTGTGGCGGCTCCTCTTGGTGTATAGCCCTAATTGCTTCTTCTCCCTCTTTCCTGCTCTGGACATTTCTTTTTTCTCTTTTTCTTTCCCGAGTTTGATGAGTGAGTTTGGTCACTTGTTGATAGCATGTCAGATAAATCTAAGTTATATGTAATTCTTCAGATGTGAGCATAACAAATGAAATTATGAGCACATTAGACATTTTAAATGAGTTTTATGAATGCTCATTTCATCATTTATGTATACTCATTTGATATTAGTGTAATACTCATTTTAAAATGTCATATTCATGTATGTTTCGAAATGAGTTTTATGTTGAACTCAAATGAGTATAACGCCCAAAAATAATGAACACACACAAATGAGTTTTTTTAATATTTTGATACTCATTTTGTAATTATGTATGCTCATTTTGTACTGTTTCATGTTCATTTTAAAATGTTACATTCATGCATATTTCAAAAAGAGTTTTATGTTAAACTCAAATGATTATAACACCCAAAACGAATGAGCACACACAAATAAACTTTTTAATATTTTGATACTCAGGTGGTAAGTTATGTATGCTCATTTTGTATTGTTTTATGTTCATTTTACAAAGTTGCATGTGTTAAACATACTATACTACATTAGATTCACATATTGAAATTAATTATAAACATAATTTAAGAATTTTTTATAAATGAAAAATTAATAAAAAGAAACTGAATTAGAATATATGAAGCAGAGATCACTGTGCTCGTTATTAGGCTTCTAATACTCAGAAGAACCAACTTAATGCTCATCAAAATTACATCGATGTTCATTTAAGAGAAACCACGAATTTCATCAAATTTACAAAAATGCCACCGGCTGTACGGTGCCAGCCGTACAGCCGGCTGTATGGTATACGCTTCCGTTAAATACGGTACGAGAATCAAACGAGGTTTAATACGTACATGTTTTATTCGACAACATGAATGGGAAAAACAGTCCAAATTTTGTTGAAAAAACATTGACTTTAAAAAAAGTGTAAATACGTATACTTATATAATACGTTATGTGTTACAAAAATTCGGGGAAAAAATATGGGGTATTATTTTGAACATTTGAATTATATACTTCACAAAATAACTGAGTTAAAAATCTTTATCTTTATATGATTATCAAATAATACCCAAGTTAGAAGTTGTTCTGTTCGTCTTAATCTTATTACTTATTCCTTATTCTTATTTTATTCAGATCAGATCAGATCAGATCAGAAAAATTCAGATCAGAAAGATTCAGATCAGATCAGAAAGATTCAGATCAGATCAGAAAGATTAAGATCAGATCAGACCAGATCAGAAACATTCAGATCAGATCAGATCAGAAAAATTCAAACATGATTTATCACTTTTATTATTATATTAATTTTATAATTATCACTATTATAATTATTATATTATAGTTATTGTTAATAATATTAATATATTAATAATAATGTTATTATTATATTAGTATTATATTATTATTCTTATAATAATAATAATATAATTTATTATTATAATATTATTATTGTTATAATATAATTATAATTATAATTATGATTATGATTATAATTATAATCATTATTATTATTAATATTATTGTTGTTGTTGTAATTATTATTATTATACGTAGTAATTATATTTCTATTTATAATTATAAATATAATTATAATTATAGAAATAAATATTATAAATATAATTACAATAATAATAATTATATTTAAAAATATATTTACATTTATAATTGTATCTATATTTAATTATTTATAATTAGTGTAATTGGTATAATTATTATAATTTTAATTTAATTTTAATTGTTATTATTATATATTTTTTAGTTATGATTATAATTATAATGTCATTTGAGTTATATTTGTAATTACAATTATAATTATAATTACAATTATAGAAATATTCAAATCAGATCAGATCAGAAAGATTCAGATCAAATCAGAAGAATTCAGATCAGATCAGAAACATTCAGATCAGATCAGAAAGATTCAGATGATATCAGATCAGAAAGATTCAGATCATATCAGATCAGAAAGATTCAGATCATATCAAATCGGATCAGAAAAATTCAGATCAGATCAGATTAAAACTTAAAAAATTCAGATGAGAAACATTCAGATCAGGTGCAGAGAACAGCTTCTTAAACTCATCTTTTCATCAAGATGACGGATGACATGCATATGACAAAAGTTGTGTGACTACTACGCTTATTATTGTTTATGTGTAAAAGTTATATTAAAAAAATGTCAGGTTTAGAAAAATCTTAATTTTGATATGCTAGTTTGGAAAAACATAAGAAATGTAGTAGTATTTTAAATGTTAGTCTTTTGGGATGCTAGCTTTAACTGCTATGCAATTAATTTTAGTATTTAATAATTGTATTGTAACAATACAAGAACACGTGATCACAGGGAGGACGTTTCCAATTTTACTTTCAAACTATTGTTAATCTCCTATGCATTTAATGCGTTCATTCAATTGGTCAATTCAATTTTTTTTGTTAAGTATGCGAAAAATACGTTTTATACTGGAAGTAGTAGGTTTTTTTGTTTTAAACGTACCGGCATTATTTTTCATTTTAAACGTGGTTTTTTGTCAAAAAACGATAGATGTTTAAAACGCTTTTAAAACACAGAAAAGGTAACTAGGATCAATGCAAACCTCTTATTACCACACAAGAACGCTCGATCGAAGATGACGGGGAATAAACATCTGCCGACGACACTTATCCACCAAAAATAATATCTCTAGACATCGCTAGGAACGAAACATATAGATAAAATTGAAAACACTGATTAAGAGGATGTTTATCATTTTTGAATCAAAGAAAATTGAAAGAAGGAGGAGGAGGAGGAGGAGGAGGAGGTAGAGTTTCCCCATGGGGTCGATATGTTATCAAAGGCGTGGTGCTACATCTGCTCTATAAGGAGGAAAAAAGGTGTGCTACCCTATCACCAATTGCTTTAAATGTAGGGGTAAGCACTTCGATCATACATAGTTCTACAACAACAATAAAAACATTTGAATTTATTTCTATCAGAGAACTCAAAACTCATAGGATGACTCGCAAACTCAGTGTCATTATGATCTATTGTTACATTATACAGAGTACTAGTGAATGAGTAGAATGATAATTGTTATGTACACAACCGTTTAACTTGTTGCGTGTGGTGCAAGCATAAGCATTAAAACAAAACGATCTGTATGTACAATAATCCAACGAGAAAAGCAAAAAAAAAAAAAACTAGAGTCTTTCATATTTATGGAATATATAAACATTACAGTTCTTTTCTAAAATTAAAAAATGTTTTTACTCATGTTTCATGAATTTTCTCAATTTTTATCTGCATAAAAATACATAATTATGACAAAGTCAATAAGAAAAATATTTTATTATAAGTTGCATTGGTTTTTATAAGAAAATCCTTGAAATGAAGTATGTTTTAGTAAGTTCTAATTGGAAGCAATAGGGCAGAAGATCATAAAAGGGTTTAAATATGTTTTTAATTCCTAAATATAGCCTATGTTTGGTATGGTGTAATGCATTGGAATGAAATTAATATTCCATTACTATGTTTGGTTAGCAGTGGCAGAACACTCGAGAAGAAGAAAAAGTGAAAATTTGAAAGGGAAAAATCATCTGTCGGGAGAGGGAACAACTGGTCACACTTAAAAGAAATACAAGAAAATGTAATCCCAAATACACTACGTATCTAATGTAAAACCTATTACACATATTAAAGTAATGGATTCCACATACGTAATGCACATTACATTACAATTTAAAATAAAATGACAGACCAAACATTGTATTTGAATCAACATGTAATGCTC